CTAATATCCATTACAATTTTAAATAATTTTAAGAAATTAAATAATTGTGTATAAAATAACAAGCTCTTGCTTGTAGGAATAATTATAGCGAAAAATAAAGTATATTTAAATGTTGCGAATTATAATACCGGCAGCCTCATCAACTGCCATCGCACACGAGTAATCGCGCTTGATAATATGTCGCGTTTCTGTTATTATATAAATGTTTAGAGGAGGTGGTACGTGAATCGAATGCAACCATATGTTAATCGCGCGCGTATGTAATCTTCGTGCACATTCACGTTCCAATATTCAGAATCGTCACGACCAGTACAAATAATGTTTAGTCACAGGAATATACTAATGGTATGTACATAGAGAAATATAGAGAAACGAATATACGCTGAGTATATTTACAATGAATTAACGGGTGCTTTAATGCAAACCCCCTTCCCCCTTGATCTACACCCCATTAGTTTAAACAGATACCCCATACCATCGCGTACACATCTGCACATCTACATAATTGGCGCCGGAGCATGCACCAAATTAAACATTCGCCGGTGAAAACTAAACCGCGTCATATAACGGTATCCAACGGGTTAGTGGAATGGATCACGTTACGATTCAATTGTCATTATGTTGCTCTTTTCATGGAGTGCTAGCGACGTCCGCGCTCGCACATGCATTTACACTAATTTATGGAGGAATAAATACGCACTTCACATTTTAAAGGATAAATCTTTCAGAGAAACATTACGTTTAAATGCGTTAATAAAATTGATTTAAGTTAATTTATGTTACATCTTCGATTTCGAGTTTATAGAAATTTAATTTTCCGAACGAAAGCCACATTAGAACGTATGAAGCATCGAGTGAATTGCTACTTACCCGAATACGTCTCGGTCGGCATTTGGTCACTTGGCACAGTGAAACTTCCTGATGCGTTCGGAGGGCAACCATTTCGGTTTTGTTGCGCACGTAAAGTATGCGTTGCGTGTAAAGACGGTCCACGCGGCGGTACTTCCGGTGGCGCGGGTTCCGGAGGAGAATCTCTACCGGTATCTGGAAATGCAAAATTATATTTCTTTCTATTAGAGTGCACATTGTCCTTTACAAGTCGCGCTTTAATAAAAAGCAAGAACAAAATTTGATAAATTAATATGTTGAACAACATCAATATAGAACATCATATTACGTAAACACGTGTGATGCAATATAGCGACTTTGAATCAAATTGTATCGATTATATGAGAAATCAAATTATCTATATTTATTTGTTCTATAAAAGAACTATAGAAAGTAACTATTGATCTTCGGAAAATTTAATCTCGCGATTTTGGTAATTTATTTGACTTCTCAAATAACAAGATTCATTTAATGCGTCGATAAATTCAAAATATTTGGTGTTTATTTTGCGAATTATTGATTGTATCGGTGTAATTCCATCCATTTCATTGCGATATTGTTCTCTCTTATGTGGCATTCATGAAATTCTAGTCTGCTCGTAGAAACGCTGCTGCGAGCAATTAAGCGGCATCAATAATTAGGCTTCTCCTCGTAACATTTTATGCATGCAAATTCAAAGAATCTATCTGCCATTACACGACGAAATTGATTACCCATTATAGGCGAAGGAATATACAAGGAAATACCGAATAATAGTTGAGTAATTGTGATATTAACGACGTATATTGTAATTCCGGTGTCATTATTCATAAATGCACATTAAAAGCTGCGACAGCGACACAACGCAATGCGTTACGTGCCTCGCTTTGCTCATGCGTACACATTCAAGTAATCCATGTGTATATGTATACGTTAATAATGGATATATTTTCTGAGAATTTCGTAAGTTCTTGTGTTTGAAACATAGTAATTGTGAAGCTTCAATAGAGAGCAATACTAAGAATTTTCCATTTCCACCGGTACCCTTTCACCATTGGCCCTTCGGGGCTCAGCGTTGCGGGCGTTCCCATAGTTAAGTTACTTATAAAGTTGTTGAAACTTGAAAGGAACTCCACCAAAGAATAATTAAAGTTACCTAAACATAAAGAGCACAAAAGAGTGCCTACGAGGCATGTTGAGGGCAACAAAAATATTTGAAAGTCTATACCCACGAAAAGCTCGTCTGTTATATCAGAGAGTGCCAATTGACATTCAAAAACATTAAAACGCTGTTAACCAATGTATTCCGTACAATTAGAACATAATAGTTATAAATTTTATATCTTTTTTCATCTCTGACATTTTATATTACACGTACGGCCGCCAGTTATAGCGAATTAGCCAAAACAGTCGACGATGACGCTATAAACCGATACCATGTTGAGCATATATACATAATTGGAGCAATGTATAACCATTAAAGGTTGTTAATGTTACAGAGCACATTATTGTAAATCAAGTTTAACTGCAATACAGTGGTCTATCGCGCTTTCGTGAAGCTACGTAACTTGGTTGTGGTAACTCGGATGTGGGATAATGGAATTTCGGTCCCTGGTCCTACGGATTAAAATCTATTAAGCGAGTCGTTATAACTTATGGATGTGTGTTGTAATGTCAAGACAATTACTCGAGCCACATAGTAAAGAATAATTTAACGTCTCATAATTACCGCAATTCTTTACATCGGCAAGCGAGTCAATAGCAAGTACAGCTCCGCTTAACAGTCGACGTGAAAGAAGCTATATAAAATTTTCAGGCAACATTAATAATATTAAAAATATGAGAAAATAATTGTTGAAAAATTTATAAAACAGTAACAGAATTTTTCCCATAACAAGTATGTTTTCCCATAACTATAGTTTGCTCTATTCTATTACGTTGTTTTTAATAATAGTAGATAAAAAGCGAATGCATATAATATTACATCAAATCTATACGTGATATATTCGTGTTTTCCTACAGATTGCTTACATACCTGTGAGATAAATAGGCCTGGGTAGACCTGTGCGCCAAAGAATGTGCAGAGAGAAAAGTGCATTAGTGCGGCGGGATTGGCAGGTGCATATGTGAAAATTCCAACAAAGAATTACATCATGCAGATGGAATGTATGATGAATTAGTTCAAATTATTATACACGATAGATTTACGTTAAAACAAATTTGCGCAAAAGTGAATTACAAAGCATTGAACGTAATAAACGAGCACAGTTTTCCAAATTTGTATCTGTATACCAAAATTCTGTAGATAGTAATACTAAAATTACTGTGAGATAACTGACTAAAAAGGTAACTAATAGACAATACTAATTTTTTTTCGACAGTTAGGAATTTTCAGTTAATTAATCAATGCAAAATTGAACACTCGAAACAGAAAACAGTAAGTGCTATTTCGTGATTAATTTAATAATTTTACGGGAAAAACGAGATCACAAATGCATTTTAGAATGTGACTGAATCGGATGACATCGAAGGTTAATGCAATTGTCATGCATGCGAATGATAATGATATATCTGCAATATTCGCTTTCGCTTCCTGACAACGCTTTGTATCGAGGCTATTCTATATAGATTTTCGACGATTTTCGCCGTTATTACTTGACCAGATCGAAGTCTAATTAATCGTAGAAATTATAAACGCGATAGGGAAATTATTTCTGCGAAGTCATCTGGGAGCAGCGTCGATATTTTCCGTAATAAGCAGTAATAATCGCTTAATTAAATCGGACCGTGAAATGCGCAATGCGTAGCTGTCAGCGCCAGCCGCGTCCGTCGCGTATCTCGGACAACTTTACCGTCGAAATATACATTTGTTCCAGTTATTGAACAATTTGCCGGCATCGTTCGAGTGCTCGGAACACCTGTAACGCTCAATTACAAAGTCGATATCGCATTGACAACGGGTGGGAAAAATCTCGGAACCGGTACTAAGCCGCTACAGAGAGAGAGAGAGAAAGCCGGCTCTCCCCTTTTGAATCAGCAATGTGTTATTTTACAGACTTAAATGTTTTATAACGATGCGCTACAAATCGCGGGATACATTTCGTCTTCGTGATAGCTTACATTACTTTACATACGCACGCTGCAGTATCAAATTAAAGCCTGGGGAAAAGTACATATTTGAAGATGGTTCTTCTGAAATTGCAAAATATGCTATACGTTAACGTTAAATCGCTAGAATGCGCGCGGGTGAAAGAGTTAAAACCGGTTAAATTTAATCCGACGGCTAAATTGCCAAAAGCAAAAATATCTTGCAACGAGCGTAGCGGAGAATTTGATGAATCTCCAGTAGATCAATTATATATCGACGATTGGCAACAAACAATTTTATTATCTATTTGATGGATATATCCGACATCATCTTTTTTTTATATATGTTTCGCACACATACACATATGTCAATTACTCGCTAACGTAACGTGTAATATGAAGATTTGTTGACATCCACATGAATTATACTGGATGCTACTAAATGCGACTTATTGCACTGTATATGTAAATTCACCAGCATAACTAATTATACGTAGCAAGGATAGAAGATAACGCTGCCTACATGAAGGTTAGATCAATACGGTTCCAGCCAATTATAGCTAATACTGGTACATCATTGACCAGTGGTCAAACCGCGTTACTGTCCCTCATAAAGCATAGGATAGCGTTTACAGAATGCGCAAAATAAATCATGCAGTTCCTGATGGCAATAGGTGCAGTGCAATTTAATTCTGCAAAATGATGAACATGATATAACTCCGCGGTAATATAGATTTCACTATTTACATAATGCGGCTTACTCCGCCCGGCAAAATATATTTAAATTAAAATTTGTCCAATCTCTCTTTTATATAAAAATATTGAATATAAAAAAATAATTTTTTTAAACTAAGAAGATTAATTTGTTCATTTTTTGTTTTATATTTATAAAATAAGCAAATTTTGTTTATACAGAAGCTGTTGAAGAATTGAGTTTATTTCTACATACAATTTATTGTAATTCTTAAATATATAATTTTTAAATTTTTATGAAATCTTTATAAAAATCACATTATTAGAGCAATTAAATTGTTTTAAATATATTTTGTTGAAATATGTCGATCAAGGCACTCAACTTCCTTGATACAATATTTATCCGAATTTATTGGATATTGCTTTCGAATGTTATTACAAACGTGACAAGCGTACATATACACCTATTTGGCGCTAGTACGACATCTAATTGGACACATTATTGAGTAATATAACGTCGCCGACGGTATGTCTTGGCCAATCGTTGTGAGCCAATTATGTAGTATGCTAGCGCATCACCGATACCGAGTTCAACCGAGTTATCCCTCATCCGCGGGCGGCGAGAAGGGTTAGTCAGACAGTGCAAGGGGATGCAAGGTAGCCGACAGTGACTTGATGCGGTTAGCGATTCGCGTCTGTAATTCGATTTGTCGGTCTAACGCCTCCGCCGCGTCGGGGAGTACACGTTCATGTAAATACGAATTATTTGCCAGCGCTATACCGGCGCGGTATTGCCGCAATGGTAGGTACCGCACCTACTGTCCGATAACCAGTCCAACGAATCGTTCCGGCTTGACTCCTTCCGGACCAAACAGTCTAATAAACCGAGTTAGCATTCGTGAATGCTTCGTCCGAACTGTCTCGTACAATTTCTATGTGCCACCCGCCTTCGTTCGCGCTGGACACACAAAATTTCATCCGTGTCTCGCCTAGATCCATTTACCATTGATTAATTAATAAGATATAACGCTTTTATTATGTCCTCGGACTTTCAATGTACAGCGAAATGAAGAATTGAATATATTTACTTATATTTGACGATTAAAATATTCTCTACATTTTTTCTGACGAATTAAGGCAAGAAAAAGATAATCACATGTATTTAGAATGGGATGAGGTTCCATAAAACAGCTTTGCTACGATGAATTTTCACGGAGGGGAAAGTTCATAAATATCACGTTGCCTCGTAACCTGAGCATTATATGATAATTTACGACAATTAAGCTTGTGCATTGATTACATTCTGTTTGAATTATTTACCTTAGCGTTATGGTAGTAAAGTGGTGAGACAGGACCGTTATAATAACGTCATCCATAAACTTAATGTCTCGTGATTTTAATTTCCGCGCGTTCTTTTCATCGTCGCGAAGAGTATCTCTGCTTCCTTTTATAACATAAACATTGACCTTTATTTCCGCAAACGATAAAAAGATTGCGTTGCAAACAATTAAATGTAATAAAAGATTCACGCTGCCACAGATATCTAGTCCGGAAAAAGATAGACTAAAAAGGAATAGAACGATAATGGTAATGGCGAACACGGACTATTGGCATAGTTCGCAAGTGGCGCTTGAAATTATTTCTATTCGTGGAAACTTGGCACTTATCCAAGCAGACACATTCGTATAACTTCCCGAATGGTCATCGTCACAAAAAGTACTCGATTGTAGTCAGAAGTGACGAATCAAGTGTTCTTGATTAAACACTACGATCAAAAAGCGAAAATTCGCGCGAGTTATTTACCCGAACGTGCTTACCCGACCGTATTATCGTTTATTAAAAATATCGGCGTATTTTTGTTCCGTAGCACAGTTATTTTTAAAGTTTTTACTGTATACATAAGTCAATTGATTCCGTGTGCATTTATTTCGTTCGTGCAACATATGCCGCGAAACCTACATCAATCGAATGAATTGATAACATCAAGCTTGCTGGTGCGCATGATTTGTTCCATGACATTAAATGCAACAGCCCGCATCAGAGCCCGTCAAAAATTACCGACCATCGCTGAACGATTGCGAAAACCCGCGGAAAATTTATTTTTCACCGACGGTGATTTGCTTCTGCACATTTACATTGTGCACAATTATTAGTTTTCACAAAAATTGTGCATTTCTCCTAATTGATCTACCTATATAAATGTACGTAATACATATACATTTCACGAATTTAATGGTTGTTTGAAAATCCTATGGACTAACAAAAATTTATAACAAATGGTATTAAATTGCAAGAACAACTTACTGTACATATCGATAGAATTGTATTTTATTTTCAAACATTTATTTATTTATAGTTTTTTGTTTACGGAGGTAACGCTTACACCGCACAGTTACATGTACCACGTGCTAATTCTTCATTTTACGATGACGAGTACGCTCATTTAGCGTGTACATTTCATAGCTTTGTGGTAGCAAATTACCGTAACGTTATCGGGTTTCGCGCGTTTGCCAATTCAATAACGTGCTCCTCGACTGGGTCACATTAGACTACGGCGGTCTAATGTAATATCAATCGTCTTTCTGGCGATGCGCCGCACACGGGGTTAACGCGGGTAAGCCCTGACCGTTGGGAGCCATTTGCTAATAGATGCCGCGACATGCCTCCATTAGACCGCAGGGACATTCTGGCAAGCAATATCCCATCGCAGATTCAGACTCAAATTACTGCTTACGAGATCCTGGTAATTATACGCGGTATCTTGCAGCATCTTATATAATGCTCGTCGTCACTATCGGCACTCTCGTAAAGCCGTGCGTTAAAAAATTATTGCCGGAAAATCTAATCGACAATTAATGCTTCGTTAAAACAATTTTTTATTACATATAAAAAGCGTAATATAAATAGTTTAGAGTAACGAGTAACATAAGTTCCTAAACATATCAAATTAAAAGAGACGAGAAAATGGAAAATTTCATATCATCTCTCAGGGTTACTCAATTTTTTTATATGATATAATGTACACTCGCGCTCACCTCGCGATATACCTTGAACGCGTGTTCATACACGTCATATAAAATGTCCATGAGTGAGCGTCACGAGCTTAATTCGCGCCGCTAATTTTCACGAAACCTACGCTACGCGGCTACGCGTAATGTGATCGCACTCGAGTGGGCAGGAGCAATGCGGCCTTCGAAATTCCGGAGGTAACCGTCCACGAAGATGTGGTGGAGCTCTCGCTCCTTACCGCACGCGCGCTCGCTAGCTTTCCACCCGGGCTATCCTTCGCCCTTTCATCCATGCTCTCGCTGTCTCGCGATATCGGTAGACTAATTGGCAGCCAGCATCCCTCGAACCCGACGTGACCGCCGCCGCATCGACGTCGCGTCGACACGAAATGAGATCCGACGAAATTTCGTTTAAAACTTAGCCGACGAGCGGCTTACGCTCGTCGACCGCGGCCGCCGGTTCAAAGCCGCAAAGCTACTTTCTCTTATCTCCCCGGTGGTTGCTGCTCGAAGCTGCGTTATACAGTGAGATAGTGCGTGTGCCAAGATAGCGCGCGGCCCAGCAACGACGGGAGATCTAAATACTGTTGACGTTTTGAAACAATATATAGTCGGCAGGGTCACGCTAACTTTGACGGTGGTCTATGCTCTAACTAGCTGAGCCCAGGCGCCAACTGCTAACTCCGTTAGCTCCGAGCTCGAGTCTCTTTCTCTTTCCCTCTCGCACTTGTATTATGCTATTGCCGCTGCCATTGCAGCTACCGACACTGTTAGTGTTGCCGCTGGTACATTACTGCATCAGACAACAATGAACCTAACTGCCAAAATAGAAGGTCCCTTGGTTATTTAATGAACCAGCGTATAATGTAGTTTGTCGATTACGGCATTGTTCGCTAGACGCGCGATAATGCATGGCTCGGAAACGTTTGCCTTTGCCAAGATCTTTCGCCTTTGGGCCGTTTCGTGAAGCTTCGCACACGTGCATCGATGGGAACGTGAGACGAGGGATGCTCATTATGAGGACATATAGTATAGTCAAATGTATAGTCGAAATCATAGCTATATATGTACGTCTTTAGGACAAAATTAACAAAAGAGATGTGTTTTCTTACGCCGCCGAAGTTATTACTGAAGTAATGTTTAATGAGTACTCGTTAATAACTATGTCTTATGTGAGGTTCATGAGAAATCGAGGTTGAAAGTAGTCTGCTTGTAACTTTCTTTTTCTCAATTAATAATTTCGAATAATTGATAACGTACACACATACACAACGCATGAAAGTTTTAGAAGATACACGAATATGTTCATAGGATCTATAGATGCGATTTCCTTTTCCGAGTTCCATATGCGATTCTCTTTTTCCGTTCGCGTTTCTGGGTGACTATTAATATTAAGCTTTTAACGAGGAACACGTTTACGAGAAACCCGATTTAACTCCGGCCAGGGGCTCGATACCAGCCGGTAACTCGGTTAGTCCGGTAATCGCATTTGAGGCATGGATCGTTAACTTATCGCACCGCGGCAAATTTTACGTCGTGATTTAAAGGGACGACCCGCTCAGGGCGATCGACGAGGATTTATCCCGATCCGTCACGTTGAATGAGTTTCTTTGTTCAAGTCTTTGATAATAGAAATAGTTTTTGGCTTAATACACGCTCGTTGCGATTCAATAATTACAATAATTGTCTCAAGCGTATGCGACGGCATGCGATGTGATGCGATATGATGCGATGATCATGCGTGTGAAATAATAATCGCGCGATGACATATATGCGTGAAAAAGAAACTCCAGTATATTCTTCCTCACCATTGGTGAGATGCATGCGAGTGTGTTCATCGGGGAAGACGGTTTCGGAACGATCGCTCGCGGTGGAGCTACTGCTCAAGGCGCTTGCGTGACCTCGGCGTGTTCTTCGACCTAAGGTACCGCCGCCGGAAGTCGTCTTTTTTGTGGACGCCGCGTAAACGGTCTCACCTGCAATAAAGAAAATACGAATATTTTTAAATAGTGAGAAATTTTTTTTCTTTAGGAAGTTTTGCTAACGAATAAGAATCATACCGCTTAATTCAATCTTCCATTAGCACGTGGGCAAAGAAAATACTCGAATCCTTTAATCTTTTCAAAATTACTTTTAAAGAAGCGAGATTATTAGGATTAAATAACACCTTTTTGCTAAGACTAATTTTTAACTTTCAGCTAATAATTTTTATACGGCCGCGCGGCCCAGCAATTATTTTAATTTTAATGACACGGTATTTGGACGTAAAACATATCTACAACTTTTACTCGACTTTTAGTAATTGGAGGTGTAGAGTATTCCAAATGGATTGAAGTGCGAAATGTTATATTAGAACGGGTTGAAACCGAAGTCGATGCTGCCATGCGTAATATCACATTGCTTATCACTTTAAATCGCTCATCTATCAGGATTTCTCTTGCGTCCATCTATCGGAATAAGCTCGTCTTGCACGTGTCACGGTTGTACAACGCAGTATAAAATTGCGTTTGATGAGATTCATCTTGCGGCGAGCCCGTAAGTATCATCTTGCGTGCAAACCAACCCGTTTGCGGTTCTAATTAACTCCCTACCATTGCCGTTGCGAGATCTCTCGGAAGATATGCTGCCGTTATAATGATGCCGGCGAGAGTTTGTGCTTTCGAGGGGAAACGGAGAAGCTTGCCGATGATTCGGTGTCAAGGTTGGGGGCGGCGTAGGAAATGGCGTTGTAGGGTTGTCCGTAGTTGCTGCGCCTTCCGTGTCGGATCCCGTACGGTACAATCTGTCTCCTGCATCTACACAAATTAATCACACGTTAATGACATTCATTTTTATTAGCTGAGTATCTCCTCTCTCTCTCTCTCTCTCTCTCTCTCTTTCTCTCTTTCTCTCTTCCTTAACAAGACATATATGTTCTCCTAAATTAATTTAAAAAAAGATAAGGAGAGTGAGCGAGAAAAACGGAGAGATTATTTGTTAACGCTGCAAAACTTGGCTCCAAGTTCACGATAAATTACAATTTTATCGTGTTTACGAGTTCTTTGTTTATAGGTATATACCCATGTTATCTGCGGTCTTGCCGCTTGCGGACAACCGCAGATGCATCGCAGCATACATGATCCCACATATAAACGTATATTACGTCTTCGCCTATCTCGAAGTGGGGCTTGGGGCTTTCCGTGATGTAACCATCATTCCGTTTTAGGGATCTCCCCCTGATGTTACCAACTATCTTGCTTTGCCTCTATCGTCAGTCAACATTTCCGCCAGCTCTCTGTCAGTTCCGAGCACTTCGTCGCGCGTCGTTGCTCTGATCTGCATTTGCTTAAGTTGACGCATGTCTAAACTCTTAAAGGCGCTTGTCACTAAAGCAGTGCCGTTCCGAGGGAGGCTTGCATTCGGCGTGCGATAGTGGAACATAAGGAGCATGGGCTAGAGGGAACTTTCTGCCGTAAGAAATGTCGGTATGTCGGTGTGCCTTCGCGCGCGATGTGCGACCGCGTGCGTATATAGGTACGTCTGTATTTTTAACCACGTTGACACGTACAAGGTGTACCGGGAGTTATTTCTTTGACGGAGGGATATACTCGCGGATGTGCTGAGGTGACGCTGAAAGGATAAAGTGGGGCGACATAGTTAGCTGAGGAAGGAATTTTTCTGTGACATTTCCGCGCGTGGGAATTGAAGGTTGTGACTTTTAGTCAATCTTTCGTCAGTGATAAAATGTTATCGTGGAATTACTTACAATTTAAATACAGAAACTATCTCCAATGTTTTTCTCATTGTAGTATAAAATTTCTTGTATATATATGTTTTTTTTTTACTAAAAATATGACTCGGCGATATCGCGTTCGGCTTATTAATTGGCACATAATTGCCGGTTGCAGGAACGCACGTTCTAATTCACTATTAAACTTCGTTTCGCTATGGCGGACAAAGGGGCAAAACCATAGTGAGAAAAGGTTGGGATGGGAGATTGGTACGGGAGAGAGGGGACGAAATCGAATCTTGTCGGTAATTAATGAGGAAAGTTTTACAAATAGCCGAAGGCATAGTCACTAAACGCCTTAGCGAGCTCGTGAATCCCATCCACAAGCAGGATATCTTTACACAAAAGTAAGTTTTTAATTGATAATTATCCTTTTTCATGCGAAAGTAAAGGCTAGACGATTGCTAACTGTTTTACAATACGTTTATACCGCTCTTTTGATTAGGACGGGAAAAGAATTCGGAGATAGTTTTGTGAAATAAAAGATTACGAGATTGCGTACGATATTGATTAATATGTGACAGCTTGTTAACTGATATAACGTAAAAATAATTCAGATTGTATAATAAATATACAATCGTGATATTTAGCGACTTGTAGATTGAGTGCAAAAGGAAATCGAATATATAATTGACAATATCGTAGGCTTCTTTGTGTGTGTGTGTGTGTGTGTGTGTGTGTTCTATCATTTCTCGCGCGTTGAAAATAACCGATATTCGGGTCTAGAGGAGAGCCAACGAGGTGCTAATTACGTTCTCGCGCTGCGCGTTGTGTTCTAAACGTTGTTTGCATCGAAATAGACGCCCTTGTCGAAAGCGACGCGCGGCTGCGGATTGACAAATCAGTTTTTCAAATCGGTTAGGAATTTACGCGCGTACGTGGAACAAGCTCGAGGCGATCTGCGGGTTACCTCGGGACATCAAAGATTCGAAGTGCTCTTCGCCGTCTCTGCCTCTTTCCCGCTCGAAGCCGCCGCCGCGCCGCGCCACCGCCGCCGGTGTGAGCGCACTCGCGATATAAAGAGAGATACAGCCAAGATGGGCATCCTGATAGGCGAGACGTCTGAGAGTGAGTAGCCGAGGGCCGGGGCAGTGGCGCTGATATTGCTCGCATTAAACTTTCATATTCAATCTTGCCACCCAACGTTGGGGCACCCCTCCGCGTGGTTCCCGACCCTCATCCCGCCGCTATGCCGTACGGAGAGCGAGCTCGGCATCAACCCCACATGTAATTGTGTTATGCCCTCTTCACCCTCCCTCCCTCCCTCTCTCTCTTCCCCCCTCGCCTCCTCACTCTTCACTAACCCCACGTCTCTTCCTCCTCCGACCTTTCCTCTTCTCTTCTACCCATTTCCCTTCGGCGCGACCTCGGTCACCCTCCCGCTCGTGCGGTTCCGCTACGCTCTCGTGGCGCTCCTCCTTTCTATATTGGATTTTCTAATCCGTATGGATTCGAAAACGTCGCCGTGACGTTTAAGAGGATAGAAAGGTTTCGTTTCTTTATCGGTCGGTTGCTATGTCGCTTTTGGACCAGCGCGACAAATGTCTGTGATTACGAGACGCTATTTCGTTTTATTTCTCGTTCGTTTATGTCGAGATACTGACAAGTATTGAAACGATATCGCGTGTTTATTATAAAAGTAGGTTTATTACAAAAACCGATATCCTGTTTGTTTTGCTTTTATTTAAAATCGACAAATACGATCCAAGCTGCTAAAACATAAATATATGATCTGCAATCTTTACTTACAATTTATATATACGCGATCTAAATAGAATTACAGGGTTGCAGTCTTCATGAAACTAATAATTGTTAGTTCGCAATAATATGAGCTAGTAATTATTATTACATCGGCGTTACGTTTAAGCAGAAATTCGATGTTTAAAATTCATCGATAAACTCGCGCAACAATGTACGCATCGACCGTATCGATCGCGAAAGCGTTAACCACGTAACAACATCTCGCCGGCATGTCGACGTAGCAAAACGAACAGTCGGCGCTTATCTTTAATCGACCGTTAATCATCGGCGCCGATCGCGTGCTCACCGGTGTCCCCCTTTCGACACTCCCGGCAGCCGTGCGAGTGCACGAGCTAGCCGGACGATTTATCTCGCAAAGCACACGGGGCCGCCGCGCGCCGTCCCCTCCGACACTTGCCACGCTCGGAATTTACAGTCGTGTCTCGTCCTGTCCGGTGGCATTTCTTCACCCCGGCAACGGTTCCTTCCGTGGCGACTAAACGCACGGCGGGTGGGCACCCGGCCGGCCCCGGCGCGACAAGGAGAACCGTGGCATGTCGTGTGCACACGATGCATTTTGTTTGTAGGGGATTGTTGCCATGGCAGCGAACTGCGAACATCGAATGCACTTCGCCCTGGCACGACGCGGCGCGGAGCGGTAGCACCGACACGGCTCGTAGACTCGACCGAGCTTGCGGAAGAGTTAGCCCCCGGCTGCTTTCGCAAGCTCCGCGCAACGGCCCGTGTACACCTGGACACGGTAGACGACGCTACTTCGGGGCGGAGCGCGTTAATTTTCTTCAAAATTTTGCTTGTGAACGACGCTGCGTTGCGGCCCGTAGTTAATACGCGCTTTTCCAAAGCGTTCCCCTCTAATAATTTTGCATTGCGTTAAAATACAAGTACGGGATATCCGTGAGATACTGCATTTCACGGTACCTCTGTATTGCTAGAATATATGCGAGATCGAAATCGGGGGAGAAATAATTCCCCATACAAAAAAATTTAATAATTATTCATTAACATATTTTATTTTCGTGGCCAATTTCAGTCATCACAAAACTGCATGCAGGTTCGAATATGGAAACGAACAAGGTAGTTGCAATATGCAGTCTTTGCAAGAATGCAACAGATGTTTGTGACAACTGCAAATAACGTTGACACAAATATTGAATATCATTTCCATTTGCAACAGCATTGCAATTTTGCTTTTGTGTTTTGAATTCGAGTATTTCCCGATGACGAATGAATATTTGAGTTGAACGTGGAATTTCTTCTCGACTCCTGATTATAATTTAGGCTCTTTTTACCGAACTTTTCAAACGCCCATGAAACATGTACTGTTGCGAAAGGTGTACACGTGTCAAAGAAGGAAAGAAAAAGACACAATAAGGGGATGCGAGATGCATTTTCGAGCAGCTGTCGCACGCACAAGGAACAATGGGATACCTACGTCGCGGCTCATATCGAAAACCAATTTCCGAGATGTCAACGAAACGAAATCGGGCGCTAGGAGGGAATTCGCCAGCGTTTTTCTAGTAACTGCCAGAGGTTGGAGTTACTTTGAGTGGGAGGGTTCGGCAAGATCGAGGAGTGGCTGTACCTTCAACAGGTGCAAAGTGTCTCCGTTGAAAGGGCCACTCTCCGACTGCTTCCATGCCTTCCATCGCCTCTTCCTTCCGCTTCTTAAACTGCAAGCTCTTTGATAGAAAGCCTAAAGCGCCCGCGTACCCTTCGGGGGAGGAAGGGAGGAGAGACGAGACGAGACGTTGTACATACAATTACGACGGCTCATAATAAGCCGATGCTCCGTTTGAGAAAATAACGATGCCTGCTAATGAGACATACCCGCTGTGCTTTGCATTCCGCCTACGACAGCGTGTCCCTTTCGCGGAATATTTCGAGCTTTCGTTAATGCGAACAATTTTCCGTTACAACAACAGCGCGATGTAGGTATATACTAATGATGAAATACAATGTAGTAGAAGTTATCAAAATGATATTACTTGTCTCGCGTGCATTCGACATCGTGCGCACGTTTCGCATCGATCGTGGTGTTATGCGACGTTATTATTTGTTTGGGATGTTTGGGATTTAAGGAATATTTACTATCTTATAGAGATAGTTGGAGCGTATATGTTATATATTTAAGAATAGAAAGTATTATATTAAAAGAAGTTACTGTGAGATATATGAACACTTGTATCCGTATAGATAAATAACATTTAAAATATTTTAAAAAATATTTAAACATTTGAAATATTTAAAAACCATTAATATTTAAAA